GCATATTTGACCATGAAGGTTTTCATTTATTTGTGACTGAGCATATTTTGAAAGCAGCAGAAGTGCCATCTATATGATCTCAGTGACTCATTTTTCTATGTTCCTATGCCTGGCCTGCTCCTCTGCTGAGTCATGTATTCCTTAATATATTGTTGTGTTTAGAACTACATTGTAGTTCTGTCCTTTTCAGATATAATAGTTATACATGCCATTCTAGTGTGATAGTCAATTATATATTTTAAGCTAATTTGCCAACCTCTAGTCTGCCACCTCACTAGCCAGGAAACCTGGAGCACCTAATCTACCCCATCTGTGCCTCTGTGTCCTCATCTGTGAAATAAGACTAGTTTAAGACCTACCTCACAAGCCTCTTGGGGAGATTAAATGAGTAATTTAGTGCACAGGGCTTAGAAGAATGTATGGAACATAGAAAACACCAAGTACTGTTGGCTGTCACCAGTGGCAGCTGGAATAGAGGTTGGCATAGTGCCATCTTCTAGGTGTGGTGAGCCTTGGAGGACAGCATTATTTCCACGTTCCCAGTGGTAGTAAACAAAAGCTGTAATTGTCCTCCTGACTATACCATAGTCCCAGACCATGCAAGTCCCATGGATGGAGCTATTTCCACCCTGGCAGGGAAGGACCAGGGCCAGTCGCTTCTCATCTCCCTTTCTTTTTACTCTGCCTGATCCTCCTCTGAATCTTAGGTAAATCCCTGGTAGAGAACAGTTTCATAGCAATAACAGGGTTTAGTTTGTGCTCTTGAGTCCTAGTTATGTTTTGATTTTATTCATAACTTTTTTTTAGGCTGGCCTTCTGTGGAAGGGTAGATCATCCAAACAGGGCAATGACCTTGCAGAAATCTGTGTAGTTCCTCAGCAATGTTTATTCCTCATGCATTTTTAGTGGGGTGATTTCCCAATTTTTATATTTAAATGTACATAGCATAGTTAAGGGTATAACTGTTTAGAGCCTTGGCTTACTTGAATAGATTTGCTCTTCATCCTAAGCATATTTGTCACTTAAAGCATGCTTAGTGTTTGGTGTTTTCTTCATCTCCCAGAAACTGCCTTACAGGGTGACTATACCTCCTAGAATGCACGAGGGTTGTCTTATGTCCGGTGGTAATTAGCTAAATATAGAGTCGAGAACTGGGAGGGACTCATCTGTGCCTTCTGGCCTCCTTTCCCATCTGTGCTGACCAGGTTAGGAGCCACCAGCCACACGTGGCTTCTGAGCACTGCAAACATGGCCAGCCAAGCTGAGAAGCACTGTCAGTGATGAAGTACATCCTAGGTCCCAAAGACAGATGCAAAACACAAAGAAGTGAAGTAGCGCTTAATAGTCTTATGTTGCTTACATCTTGAATGATGAGTGTTGATACAGATTATCAAAATAAATTTTATTCTTTTTACTCTAAGATGGCTACTAAAATGTTTCAAATTTCATATGTGGCTCCTATATTACTACTGAACTGTGCTAATCCAAATCATCTAGCTCAAGTATGAAGGATCCTCTCCCCGCCCCCACCCCCAGTGGAGGTTCTGGAATCTTCCATAGTGGTTTCTCCAAATCTCTCATCATTCTGGCATCCCAGTTCTCCATAGCCTGTCTTAGTCTTCCCTGCTTCAGTTTGGTGACTTCTACTTCACACAATTGATTTCGACATCTCTTTAGGAAGCCCGGACTTGAGGAGAGCCAAACATCTCTTTATAGTGTTATAAGCTCAGTGGTTCCGTTTTTAACTCTTTCCAAAGTCATTGATATTTTAAAAATTACTTTCTGTGGGTCATCTGTGGATTTGTTATTCTGTTTTCAAATATCTATATCCAAAATACCCTACATCACTCTAGATGGACTAGACTAAAGAAGGAAGAGAGGAATTGCTTCCACCAGCAAGTACTTACTTAATTGGTCCTTGAGATATTTTACCTCATTTAATCTAAGAGCCTGAGCAGGGGCAGATGCTATTAGTACCACTCTTGACTGATAAGGCAAATGAGACTCAGTTAAGTAACTTACAAAAGATCTACCACAAAGTAAGTGGCAGTTCTGGGATTCATGCCTAATTTTGCTTTACTGCCAAGTGCATGTTCATTCACTAAACACCATGCTGTCCTTACTGATGTGTTAGGCAGCATTTGTTACTATAACAAGATACCTGAGATAGTCCATTTAAAAAGAGGAAAGGTTTATTTTGGATCCCAGTTTTGGAGGTACCAGTTCATGATTGATTGTTTGGGGCGGGGGGATCTGTGGTGAGGCACAACATTATGGAGAGAGCAAACAGTGAATGAGAAGCAAAATGATAGGGAGGAAGAGGAAGTTGTACTAGTTCCACTATTATTTGCAAGAATATGCCTTCACATAATCTGAGTTACTGAACTGAAATCCCTTTGTACACTACTTAAAATTAAAAAAGAGTACACTTTTAGTGACCAGAAAAGTTCTCACTAAGCCCTATCTCTTAAAGATTTCTGCTGTTTCCTAATAGCACCAACCTGAGAAGTAAGCCCCTTTATCACATGTGCTTTTGGAGGACATTCCAGATCTGAACTTAGAGCACTGGCACTTTTCTTTGAAAGTATTCCTTCTTGTGGTCTACAGAGGCCTCACTGTAGTATCACTGTAGATACTACTTGAAAGCCAGCAGGACTGCCTGGCCCTTTGGATAACCATCAGCCCCCAAAATAAGACCCTTCCCAAAGAGCAGTCAAAGCAAAGTTCATGGTTAGTGTTGAGTGGAAGGGGACAGATAGACCCTTGTGAGTATGTTAAGATCTTCAGAGCTGGGTGCCTGTGACTCATACTTATAATCCTATTAATATCTGAGGATCCATGCTTCAAAATCAGGCAGGAAAGTCTGTGAGGTGCTTTATCTCACATGACCATCAAAAAGCTATGGCTCCACCTTACCCCAGTCAGAATGTCCCACATCCACAAATCAGCCAACGACAAATGCTGGAGGGGATGTGGAGAAAGAGGAACCCTATTACACTGCTGGTGGGAATGTACACTTATACAACCACTTTGGAAAGCAGTCTGGAGGGTCCTTAGAAAGCTAAAGATTGACCTCCCTTACAACCCAGTCATACCACTTCTACGCATCTACCCTGAACAACAGGAACCAATATACAAGGACACGTGCACCTCCATGTTTATTGCAGCACTGTTCGCAATAGCTAGGATATGGAAACAACCTAGATGCCCCACCACAGATGAATGGATCCAAAAATTGTGGTATCTATACACAATGGAATATTATGCAGCCATTAGAAATGACAAAATAATGGCATTTGCAGGGAAATGGATGGAGCTAGAAGGAATCACGTTGAGCGAGGTAAGCCAAGAACGAAGAGACAAACGGTACATGGTCTCCCTGATAAGTGGATGCTAAATCCAAAAGGTTAGGTGATATGACAAAACTAACAGGACTTAAGAAACAAAGAACTCCCACTCATCTGGTTGAACTACTACTAAATATCCCCATGCTGCTGATCACATATAGGATATACAACATGTGAACACCGTTATATATTACAGACTGTGATAGACAATTTGCTCCAGGAAAGTTAGAATGAACTTGTGACTTTAAATGAGCATCATTATTCCACAATACTGTGAATTTCCAGAAATTATGTAATCACTTAATCACAATCAAAAAAAAAAAAAAAAAAGAACCTCGGGGAAGGGAGGGAGGGAGGGGATGGTAGGGGGAAACCAATGGAGGGGGTAACAATGTTCAAGAGGAAGTGTACTCATTACCTCACTCATGTAACTGTAACCCTCTGTATAGTATCTTTACAATTAAAAAAAAAAAAAAAGCTATGGCTCAAGTGGTAGAACACTAGTCTGAACAACAAAAAATGTTTTTAATTAATTAAAAATAAATAAAGATATTATACTCACTGAAATAAGATAGCTAAAAAGACAAATACTGTATGATTCCACTTGCCAGAAGCACCTAGAATAATCAGGTTCATGGTGGCAGAGAATGGGGGCTTGCCAGGAACTGGGGAGAGTGGAGATGAGAGTTATTGTTTGGAGATGGATGCAGATCTTTGTGAATGCTCTTCATAACACTAAACTGTATACTTAAAATAGTGGATATTGTGTGTATTTTACTTTTATAAAAGCACAAGGAACTTTACCAAACATCTAAGCCTTAGCATGATGTAATCAGAGGTGCCCCTGGAGCCAGCTTGTACATTCTAGCTTTGGACCCACAGTTGTTTTTCTGAGTCATCTATTTACAAGAAATCTCTAGGCTTTCTACACTGAGGGGGAACCCCATTTTCTTCCTGACATAGTTCTCCTTGTGAGAAATGTTTCAAATTTCACACCAATTCCTTCTCCAGGATTTAAAATTTTCTTTATTGCTTGTGTGTGTGTGAGAGAGAGAGAGAGAGAGAGAGAGACAGACAGACAGACAGACAGAGATAGCGAGGAGAAAGAGAGAGAGGAAAGAGTACTAGGGCTTGAACTTGGGGCCTCAGATTTTTCACTCAAGATTGGTGTTTTTTCACTTGAGCCACACCTTTACATCCAGCTTTTTGCCAGTTAATTGAAGATATGAGTCTCGTGGACTTTCCTGCCTGGGCTGGCTTTGAACCTCAATATTCAGATCTCAGCCTCCTGAGCTGCTAGGAGTACAGATATGAAATACTGGCTTCCAACTGAGTCTAGAGTTTTCTAAGGGAAGCAGGGCTGTAGATTCTATTTGGTTAGACCAAAGTAGCCCTTTTAGAGTTGTGAATGGAAATTAACTTGAGCCTCCAAACATCTAAGAGGTTTTGTTTTTTTTTTTTAATCTATGTTTTCATTGAAGTTCCTGGGTACTGAAAACTTGATGTCAGTTAAACAATTGTCTGTTTTGAGAAAATGTAGCCAGGGTACTTAGACTGGAACTCAAATCCACAGACTGCTCTGAATCTAGAGTGTGGTGTTTAGTGTCCTGGTGAATGTATTTGCTCATTTGACCTGTGTGTTTTCCTTTTCAGGAATCATTAACCAATGGCAACAGGAATCCAAGGATAAAGTGATTTCCCTCCTGTTAACTCACCTGCCTTTGCTGAAGCCAGGAAACCTTGACGCAAAAGTAGAGTATATGAAACTGCTGCCCCAAATCCTGGCTCACTCAATTGAACACAACCAGCATATTGAGGAGAGCAGGCAGCTGCTGTCCTATGCTTTGATCCATCCAGCCACATCGCTGGAAGACCGCAGTGCTCTGGCCATGTGGCTGAATCACTTGGAGGACCGCACATCGACCACCTTTGGCAGCCAGAACCGTGGCCGTTCAGACTCTGTGGATTATGGACAGACGCACTACTATCACCAAAGACAAAACACCGATGACAAGCTCAACGGGTGGCAGAACTCTCGGGATTCTGGGATTTGCATCAATGCCTCCAACTGGCAGGACAAAAGCCTGGGGTGTGAGAACGGTCATGTGCCCCTCTACTCCTCCTCATCCGTCCCCACCACAATCAATACAATTGGAACCAGCACAAGTACAAGTAAGTTCCCTGCAAACCCTCTAACGTGATCTGGTTTGGTGACTTGCTGTGTGTGTGGCATGTCTTGCTGACAATGTCTGCTCTGAGCACCTTGGAACCCTGGGAGAGAAGGGCTGATGGGAATTGGCTGTGGGAAAAGGCTTATTGGTTGGTCTCTGAAAAGATGAAAATATTGGACAGGTAAAAGGAATGGAAGGTCCAAATTTGGATTCCAGACAGACCAAGAACAAATAAAGAGAGAGGGAGAGAAGAAATGGTGAAAGAAGGAAACATCCTGTTTCTGCAAACACAAATGCCTTTCAAACCCACATGTCTTTCGTCCTGGGGTTTTGGGATTTGCCAAGACACTGAGTTACTGTGTGATTCTCTAAACCTGATTCTAACCCATGGTTAACCTGCCAGTCTCATGGGCTTTTTTGCATTTTTTTCTTCTTTTCTTTCTAAATTTTTTCTTTCCTTATTATTTTGTACATTTCACCCTAGAATGCCCCCTCCCCTTGCATTTCCTGGTTGAACCTCCAGTTGTTGCTCCTGACCAGGGAAAGTAGACTTGCTGATGGTGAATGCTGATCTATGTGGAGACCTCGTATGGAAGCAGTGGGCTTCCTCTTGCTCAGTTTAACCTCTTAGGAGAGGTGGGCCAGGAACTGCTTTGAGGGAGGGCAGTAGAAGACATTTTCTCCTCCATTCTTTGATCACCAAAGCCAAGTGCCATGCTCATAGCAGGCAACTGGGTCCAGGAGTCCTCTGGGATCCTCTCTGGATCCCAGCTTAGACCAGCAGTGACCAACCTATCACTCATGCCTGTATAAAAGCAGCCCACCATCCATCAGCACTCCTTGTACATGTACAGCCCTGCTTCACATGAATCTGTGAGGTGATTGTCTCAGGGGAAAGGTTTTGCAGTTAGATCTGATGGACTTGTCAACCTGAAGGCACCTCTACTTAGCAGGCAGGAGGAGAGGTCAGGGATGTTGCTCATTGGTAGTGTGTTTGTCTAGCATGCATCAGATCCTGGGTTTCATTCCCTGTACCACAAACAAACAGATATATATGAGACAAGACAACTAAAAATGAGCAGGGATGCCTTCTTGGATTTTACCTCCATTTGAGTCTTTTGGCTACTGGACCTCTTTAAATGGGTTTTTCACGAATGTAAGAACATAGGATTATTAACTACACTAATTGATAGTACCTTAGTGAATAACCAAGGAAATCCTAAAGATAACTACACTAATATTGTTAAGAGAATTTTTAAATTTTTTCTGATTTTTTATATAGACACAAATAATTAGACTATCTGAAGATTTAGGTGATTGTTGCACTAGTGACTTATTATGTAAGAGGCTATGATAGCAGACAATGTCCGACGGCTTGTGATCAAGCAAGGAACATTTTCTCTAGCCTTTGCTTGCTTGATAGCACAGGGAGTGATGGCTGGGGTTAGTAGAACCACCTTAGTCTCTTGGCTCAAATTTCTTAGGTTAGCCTTGTCCCTGTTACAAAACTCTTTAATAACTGGGAGAGATGCAAGCTCTGAGCAGCCTGCCCTTTCAAAACTTGGTCTTTGATATTTTTATATTTTATGTTATTTATCCTGAAACTGGTCTTGGGTCATTATATATTTTCATCTGTTGGTTGGCACGCTCTGGGTTGGGTCATCACAAGGTTAATACATTTAAGATGGCCATCAGGTTGTAGTCAACAGATACATATTTATCATCATGGCTACCCAGTCCGGTGCAGAGAAGGAGGTTCAGGGATGGCTACCTTGACTTTCTCAATCTTGGAACCCTTGAGTTAATACTTGAGTTGCAAAGGACTTAGAAGTTCAACCAGATGACTACATTACATATCCCTGGGAAAACAAAAGAGTTGGACCTCTTTTTAAAGAGCATCCAGCTCTGTCACCCCAGTATTTAGGAGGATGAAGTAGGAAAGTCATGAGTTCAAGGCCCACCTGGGCTACAGAACAAGTTGGAGGCCAGCCTGAGCTACATTGTTAGACCCTTCTTTTTAAAACCAAAGCAAAAAAAATCATCATAAAGGTGAAACAACTTAGATCTCCCCTCCACAAGGTTTCAGTAATGTCTGTACCACAGTGTTACTTACAGTCACGTTCTACTGCTCTTCATGATCTATGGAGGTTGTGTTCATCGGAATTGCAAACCTTTGGGCTTTTTTCTTGACTTGTGCCTGTCTCACATATACATAGAGCAACTGTAGACAGCCTGATGAAAGAACAGAGCTATTAGTGTCAGTACCCTCCAAAATCTAAACCCCAAACCTACAATTTGCTGACTACAACTTGATCAAGTTATCTAACTTCTCTGAACAAAACCTTCCCTTGTAAAATGGCAACATCGTGATTTCCCCTCTTTGAGGACTGTGATAAGATAAACAGATAATGTAAATGTCCAGAGCAGCAAAAATAAGCACATATTAGGTGTTTGCCAGATGAATAAATAAATAAAACTGGAAAAGATGGTGAGAAAAGTGATATTCAGAGTGCATTGACTTGTTCCGTTCTAATGGTTACCTGGTTAACAGCACCTTTCCCTGAGCTGAGGCCCATGGAGAAGACAAGTGTTCTTTGACTTCCAGTGGAATGATGTCCCTATAAACCGGTCCTAAGCAGAAAATCGGGTAACTCAAAACAGCATTCAATATACCTAGTCTATGTAACATCATAGCTTAGTGTAGCCTATCTTTACACATACTCTGAAAATGTATATTAGTCTATGGTTGGAAAAAAATCATCTAATACAAAGCCTGTTTTATAATAGTGTATTGAGAATCTTATTTAATTGATTGAATACTTAAAGTAAGAAAATACAAAAAAATTGTTAAGTCCAGTCATCCTAAATCCGTGGTCTGTGGGACTTTGCATATGGAGTGAGTTTTGGCCATGTAACTGTGATAGAAAATGTGTGACTTCTTCTACTGCACTGAAGAGCTACATTTCTTCCCTCTGTCAAGGTGGAAAAGAAGAGCTATGCAAAACATAATTTTAAGAACTGAAATCAATTAGTCTACACATTTTCAAATTATCAACCATATTAATGAAAGCCACCCTCTTACTGCTTTTCCCTCTATGTAATTTATTTAATTTATTACTTTTTAATTATTGTTATTATTGAGTAGTTGTATAAAGGGGTTACAATTCCATAAGTCAGATTATGAGTACAATGTTTTTTGGTCAATTGTCACCCCTTCCTTTGGTTCTCATTTTTTCCCCTCATTTTTTCCCCTCATTTTTTCCCTTCTGCCCTTACCCACAAGTTACATAATTCATTTCCTCTTACTGTTTTATTTTCATTTTCTACCTTGGTTTATTCCAGTTTATTTTTCCTGAACTTCAACTAAGTCCCTTACTTGCTTCCTCCCTGTTTAGATTCCAAATTAACCAACTTCCACCCCAACACTGCTGTCTACCTACTGTGTGATAACATGGTTGGAATTAATGAGAAACATAAAGAAACTTGAGATATTGTTCCCACTTGCAGGGTGCCTGTATTAGATACAGGACTTGTCAGTTAAGTCTCACGTTTAAAGATTAAATATTGCTTTTGTCCTGACTTATTGTCCACAGAGAATTCACATAAGAATCCCAGAGATGGCTGGGAAGGTGGCTCAGTGGTAAAGCGCTTGCCTTGCATGCATGAGGTCCTGGGTTCGATTCCTCAGCACCACATAAGCAAAAAGAAAAAAGCCAGAAGTGGCACTGTGGCTCAAGTGGTAGAGCGCTAGCCTTGAGCTGAAGAGCTGAGGGACAGCGCCCCAGCACAGAGTTCAGGCCTCAGACCGGACCCCTCCCCCCCCAAAAAAAAAGAATCCCAGAGATATATAAAAGAATGGTACAAAATTATGTAAGTACTGCCATAAGGACCTATTAGTTTTAATGTCAGTTAAAGGAAGTCTATCTTACTCTCTTCCTTGCTGCTTAACAAAATACCATTGACTATGTAATTTATAAACAACAAAAACTTATTTGGCTTGTGATCATGGAAGTTGGGAAGTTTTAAGAGCAAGAGACCACATCTAATGAGTGCCAAATACATGGTACATGGCTACATGGTAATGTGGTAAGAAAAAAAATGTTAGAGAATGCAGAGAGGGCTAAACTCATTTTAAAACAAACCCTTTCAAACAATATTTAAGCAATATTTATTTGCCACTCAATTGTATCATCTCTCAACACTTACATTAGGGAAGAAGATTTCAATACTTGAACTTGGAAGAACATATACAAACTATAACAGAATCTATATTATAAGTGCTGTCAAATTTTTGGAGTGTAGGAATCCTTGTGAATTGGAGAATGAAGAAAGACTTTGGAGGGGAAATGGACATGGGCTAAGATAGAAAGGGGGAGGAGAATTTGGTGGGAGAGGACACTCATGGTAGGAATATGCATAGAGAGCAAAAAGATGGATGTGATAATGTAAAGAGTTGCTTGGGAGATAGTGAGGAGAAAAGAGGTTTATGAAGGAGAAACAGGAGCCAAGAAGACAGTGAAAGTAGACTGAAGAAAGGTTTGAAAGCCCCTAAAGAAATTGAGCATGGGAGTGTCATGAGCAATGCTGTATGAGGATTGTCAGCTATGGGCCAAACAAGTAGATAGTGAATGATTCGTTTCAAAAGTGCAGTTGAAAACACAAGTATCATAAGAATAGATGCAGAGCAGAAGGGATGAATAGGAGAAATAAACCTAAGTGGAATTACTCTAGGATCAGGATTTAGTAATACATTAGATATATATTATTGATTCATAGATTTGTTTACTCACGTAAAAATATTTGTTGAGCTTTTTTCTTTTGGCATTTCTGGGGATCAAACCTGACTCCTTGTGCATGCAAGGCAAGCAGTCTACCACTAGAGTACATCCCTAGCCTTACTGAGCACCTTATATAGGCTTCTCTTTCTAGGGACACTTGGAACACATCACTGGAAAAGACCAAAGTCACAGTCCTTATGGAGCTGGCAGTGTAGTACATATTAGTTATATA